ACTCCACTATGCACCCTTAATTCTAGACTCTTGTGATAATTATAATACCCTATCATATATCGCTTTTAAATTATTCCCTCCCTCATCTGTTTCAATGCAGTATACATAATTTATCCAGTTTTTCCCAACCCTAGTATCAGTCCCGTTCTACAATAGTGGCACCATGCAGTATTTGTCCTTTTGTGACTGAGATACTTCACTCAGCGTAATGTCCTCCAGGCTCACCCATTTTGAGTAACATTGCATGAGTTCCTTGTTTTTCAATGCAGAGTACTATTTCATTGTGTGAATACACCACAACTTCTCTATCCATTCGTTTGTTGATGGGTGGAGGAAGTGTTTTGTGTGGGGCTGGCTGCGTCTTCTGGAATGTGCAGACTTGGGAGATTGGAGATAGGGATTGACAAACGACAAAATAGAAGCTGCATCCTTTTTTTTTTGTACATAGGGTTTGTGGTTTTTTTTTTTTTAATAATTTTAATGAACATTTACAGAGAATTTGGATTTCTATTCATTCATTGCTGCACTTCTCTACCCACCCAGCCCTCTTCCCCCGCCCCCAAGTTCGCTCCTCTCTCTCAAAAGTAAAAGTCCCTCCCTGGTACACAAGCTGCATTTTTTTTAAAAAAACAACCTTATTTTATTATATTGTGTGTGTGTACCGTCAAATCAGATCTGACTGGTACAGAAGAAGGACATTGCTCCTCCTTCTCCCGCAGAGCATCTGGTAGATTTGAACCGCACACCTCTGAGATTGCCGTGCAGCTTTTTGCCACTAGGCCACCAGAGCTCCCTGGAAGCTGCACTTTTTTTTTTTTTTTTTTTGAAGCTGCACTTTTAACTTTCCCTTTAGGAAACGCTCTAGGAATTCCTGCTGCAGCTTTGTGGGACAGTGGGAGAAAAATTTTCCTTTTCTGACAAGTTTTAAGGTGCATTGAATCTGATTAATTGGCAACACAACGTGTGTTGGCGTAGAACGAACCCGTCAATAGGATTTTTCAGTGTCTGGTTTTCCTATTCAGAAACAGATCACCAAGCTTTTCTTCTGCAATGTCTCTGGGTGACTCAAACCTTCAGTTTTTCCATTAGGAGCTGAGCTCAGTGGTTGCACCACCACGGACTCCCATCTCTTGGAGAACAGTGCTGTGTCTACGTCAATTTCCCAGTTAGTCCAACTTCTCAGAACCCACCATAAAGAACACAGTCGCTTAAGGAGTGGCTTCGTTTCCCCTTTTCTCAGCTCCAGGACCAAGATCCCTTCCCGCTAATGGGAAATTCAAATTAGTC